AATAATTTGTGCTAAAAACTCCAAAGAATATTCTAGCTGAATATTTCTAAATATAAAAGTAATATAAAATATAAAAAATGACTGTTTTTGTAAGCTTTCCAGAATATAGAAAATGGTTGGAAACACTGCACATTCATTTTTCAGATATTTGAGCAAATATGAATGGGGTTTCTCATTACCTTTTTGGGTGTGCATTGTCAATTCCACAATGAACAGAACAACAACAACTTTTTACTCTTATTAGCAAAACACTTCACATTTCCAAAACATGTATTCAACTCCAAACACATTAAAAATACACATTTCAAAACAACACAAGTCAAACTACAACAGTAACTCTTAGCTTTACTTTAACAGTTCAACTAAAGTTGGACAGATCACATACTCACAACACTTCTGTCAACCACATGTGCTCACAGGATTCAACAAAGAGCCCATCATCAGGAGTGGAACAACTTGGTTAAACCTCTTCATTTGGCCTGGAACACAAGATGAAACTGACAACATTCCATACAAATGCTCTCAGATGACTACACCGTGTTCAAAGTGTTTAGCACTAGCATGTTACAAAACACTTCAAATAACCACTACTTAGTACTCAAGATTTTCACATTCAACAACAATTCAAGTAACAAAAAAAACTTTATTTTTACAAAGTCAAAAACAACTCTCCATCTAGCACTAGTGAAAGGCTTAAATCCATTTCATACCTGTAATAGTGAGGTTCAATCGGTTCCACACTGCGCTCGGCTGGTACATCTCCACTACTTTGGCCATGATCTAAACCCAAGATGCACATTTTAATAACATGCCAAAAGAGAATTTTGGGGGTAAGAGAGTGCGGAGGAGTGGGGGGGGGGGGGACTAAACCACACTAGTAGTAAAACAGACTTACTGGTTTAAAGATGGCTTTGTGGGTAATTCACTGCATAGTATTTGCTCTTTCCAGCCCATGTCCTGTAAACATTTCACAACACACTAAACGCTGTCCAAGTTTTATTTCAAAAACTTTTTTTGTTTCTTTTCTAACTTGAGCAGCTCAAGAATGGCCAGGACTATATCGTTCACGTAACAGAAACCAGATGCTTTGGACTTCTTGGCGTCGTGGAGTCCACCTGCCCAGGTGATGGCGATATGGGTCTGCTGCTAGAAAGTTTAAGTGCCACTTTGAAGGAAACGTTCCCCACAGAACAAGCTGCTGCTTCACTAACACTTGGCTGAAGTCGCAACACCCAAAATATTTGGACCAGTCAAACCAAACGGTCTTCGTGCAGATATTTAGAGGCCTAACAACAAAGCGGTATCTCGTACAATTGAATCACACGCTGACTGAAGCAGTCAGAACTAGTTTGAATGTGCAAACCGTGCGGCTCATGCTACTGTTTAGCATTTAGCATGCTAACCGACACTCGGCGTTTCAGCAACGTTCACTGTTTAAAACAAACCGTCTGCTTGCGTTAATCGCCAAAGTGAAGAGAACCAGAGATAGAAATACGTACCGTCGTAGTAACAGCGAACCCTTTTCTTTGCGCCTTCACGCAGAGCCATTTTTGCAACCATCACCGAGCCAGGAAGTATTGTCACTCGTGATATTTCGTTCGCGAGTGATTCGTTCAAAATGAACGAATCTTTCATATGACTCGTGACTCCTGAGTCATGTTAAAGATTTGTTCATATTCAACTCACAAATCACTCACTGCAAACTAATCACTCACTTCGAACAAATCACTCTGGGAACTAATCTTTCAGATTCGTTTCATTTGTCACGTGACAGAGCTCGGGTCTCCTTTGCTCTGATTCATCTTCACATTGTGCTGTGTTTTTATTTCTTAGCTTTTCGTATTTTGTGTACTTTGTAGACTTTGTCAGTGGAAGCAAACCATGTTGCCTTCAGTATTTAGTGTCGGAGAACTGCAGCCTTCTTTACAACGCCCACAATAGGGCTAAAGCGCCACCTGCTGTAAAACGAATGAAATGATTAGTTCAAGATTCGTTCACGACTCGTTCATTTTACTGCTCGAGAGTCAAAGATCCGAATCAGTAAAAGAGTCGGTCTTCCCATCACTAATTGTCACTTCATTCCGTTTTTAAAGCACACGGCTGCGGATCGTTATCCAATCACAAGCGGCAGCTACAATCCACCAGGTGACAGCGCAGGCTCAGTAGTTTGTTAATTGGTAGATACACACAGTCACTGCACACTATAGTCAGTGCAGCTAAAGGAAAATTCCTACAACTCATACTGAGTTACGCTGCAAATACTGCTCGCATCAAATGTGTGCAACTGTTACAAAAAATGGCCAAGAAACGAAGCAGCAACACATTGTTTGTGTCTATCTGTGACAATACCAAGGACATTTTAGTTTTGGGAACTGACATCTTTTGTCTGCAGCTCCATTGCTTTTACTATCGAGAAATATGATTGCTACTGAAAACAGCTTTTTCTGCTGGAGGAAAAAGGGTGCTCTAACGGGTAGCAAGCAAGACTATAGTCTTACTATCATGACAAAATGCAAAGAATTAAAAAAAAGGCCCAATAATACAAAACATTCTGATAACTTGGCAGGTAGTGGCCTTGAACTCTTAATGCTCAGGTCCCAAACTCACTTCCTTAACCACCAGTCTACCACTGCCGCTAAAAAGAAACAAGACTATAGTCTTACTAGCATGTTGTTTTTGATCAGAAAATTATGGGTTTTTTTTCAATGTTTTTTGAAAACATTTTGAAACTATTTTTTATTGTAATTTTTCCTCAAAATCTAAATTATCATCATCATCATTGTTGGTCAGATGTTGAAAAGTGATGTTTTTTTTTTTCAAAACTGTATCTTATATGCATGTTTTACATCAAACTACATAATTTTAACAATTTCTTAAAGATTTTTTTTACCCACAGTTTTCATAACCCTAATTAAGCTTGTCAAGCTGGGTCAGATGTTGAAAAATTATGATGACATTTTTTGGTAAAATGTTTTTCAAGATTTTCTCTTTTCTTTGTTTCCCATTAAATTAAAGCATTTTGTGAGAAAAAAATCAGAATTTTGAGAAAGCATTTCAAGAAATAAAGTGCAATAAAGTATATTTGTCTTTTAACCATAAAATACGACATAGCCGTGTATTTTTAGGCAGTGTATTTTTATTCATTTTTGAGAGACTATAGTATATTAGTCTAATCAAATGTTGATGTACCAAAAAGTATACTGTATATTTATTTTAGTATATTTTTTTCCTAATTTTAATCATAAAAATGGTCATTGCTAAGGCATAGCTACATATTTTAGGACAAATACAGAGATTTCACAGTAGTTCGTATTGCTAAACTGCATTTTGTTATAAAAGAAATACTTGAAGCACAGTCTAACCAACAGTCTACATGTCTACCAGTTGTGGTCTGTTGAGGTCCAATAATCATTAAAAAAATATTTGTAAGAACCTGTCTATGCGATTTTAGGTTATGAAACTCACTTCTACTAAACATTCTAATTCTTAGACATATTTAAACTCACAGAAAAAAGTAACGCAATAGTTACTTTCCCTGACAACTAGTTACTTTTATAGTGTAGTAAATCTGTTACTATCTCAGTTAAGTTTTAGTTAACTCATATTTAGTAACTATTATTTAACTAAAAATAAATACTAGTTACTAATAGTTAGAAGTAACTAGTAACTATAACTAATAACTTTAAGTAACATGCCCAACATGAACACCATTCACACGCATTTATTCTATTCCAATGAATCTCATCCACGAACTTAATATGCCAAGTTAACATCACCAACATGAATGAATATCTATTAAATACATTCTTATAAACAGAGACGAAGAAGAAAATAAAACTCTCCAAAGATTAAAAGGACATACAGTATTAAAGATTTTGATTTTTAAATATAAGCGCATGGGTGAACTGTTAGGGTTTTTCTGATCTCGTTTGGGTTGAACCCTGGCAGGCTGGTGTCATTCACATGAAGGGAACCCTGAGAGATGCCACCTCAGCAGAGCTTGGGAAACACTGCCTAAGGCATTTTTAAAAGCAGAAGTATGCACTCAGAAAGACAACAAAACTTTGGACAATCACATCCTACCCATATGCAGGTCTAGTTAAGGACAAAATGGATCATTACATACTCCTACCGATGTCTGTCTTAAAGCTGAGAGTAACAGGATTATATCCAACCTTAAAAACAGTCTGACCTTACATAGTGAACTTGCTAATGACTGCTCCTGTCTGGGCACTGACTCTGCTGAGCTTGTTCTCTCCTTCTCATTGCCTCGATCACTGCCATCTCCTTGGCCTCCTTCTTTTGGTTCCTGACTTCGTAATGCAACCTTAAAATATGGAAGAAAAAAAAAAAAAGAATTCCAAAATTCCCAGAAAGACACACATTCAAAAGTGTTATTTTTAGAAATGGATCATGAACGCATTCCATACAAATTAAATAAAAAATGGGGGGAAACCTGTTTTCAATGATCCTCTGGACAATATCATCAGTCGTGAGGTTGTTTCCACTATCAATGGTCCAGAATATGCCTCTTTTCTTAGGTTCCTAAAAGCAACACACAAACAAACAAAAAATCATATTTTATTTTTTAATGAAAGAACAATTTAACCCAGAGTTTAGGATAAGGGGATGTTGTGTGTAATTCTGCAGACAGGCCACTCCAAATCAATATGGTTTTATTTATTTACTTTTTAATATTAGGTTCAGACAATCCTACATCCTACAATACAAATATACAAATATAATATACAGGATGAATGTGTCTTACCTAG